TTATGAGAATGCACACTTTATGGGGCCAGAGCTTGACGTGTGTCATTCAAGGCTGTAGCTCCAGCACCAGGAGGACACAAAGAAAGCATCCCCTGTCCCTTGTTGAGGGAATACCAGTCCCCACCCCTCCTATCAGCCCCTGACATCTACATTTCAAAGGAGACATTCAGAAAAGATATTCTCTTTCAATTTAAACCACTTCAAGGCCCAGTATACAAAAAAACATTTTTGGGTAAATGAGATCTAAACAATGCTGTGAAATTCTAACTGGAGGCTCCTGTTTGCAGATGACTCAGAGCCTGAGGCCTCTGGTGGTGTTAAATATCTACCAGACCCAAATAAAATCGTTCTTGACCTGATCAGAAGAACTGACAAACAAATGGAAAAGCAGCTACTTCCTTGTCCCATGATTTGATTTTACTCCATGTCCTGTCTTGATAAAAACATACATAATCTCTGTTATCAGTAGAGCTGAGTGTGCCGGGCTTTTTGAAAAACACCTCCGGCTGACAAGAAAAGTCTTCCGCTCTGTTCCATGGGAGGTAGACAAATGTATCTGAGTTCTTGCATCCACAAAGTATTTCTCTCCTCCACTCCCATGCTTTCCTGAGATTGCCTGCCTAAAAAAACACCATTTCAATTACTTCTGCCTCAGCACCTCCATTGGTTTCTCACAGAAGCAGAAACAACGTATTACAAATGGAGGCAAAAGTCTTTGAAATAAACACATTGCTTGAAAATTGTGATAACATATTTTGCTGGCTTTCCACATTAAAAACCCAGGACAGGAGGACAAGTGAATTGCGAGGGCATATAGTCTGCTTGAAAATAATCCCACAGATAGCACACTAAAATGAAGGATGAACAGAGGACATTTTTTCCAATCAAAAAAATTCTTTAAGTCATGAACACAGCAGTCTTACATTACACACACCGGATCCAAAATGATCATGCGGGGCAGGGCCCTGGTTGTACGTAAAGAGACAGCACTGGCTGAGGAGGTGAGGGAGCGTTTGGAAACCCCGTGACTAGATTTGGACAATATAGACCAGCATTTCCAAAGGATGCTAATAGGTATTAGGTGAAATAAGTTTGGGAAACTCATGAACAAACAAAGCTAAGTAGGTTCATTTATATGGTTGGAAATCTTCCAAGTTTTTTAAATGCCCACGAAGATTGAATAACTTAGATTTAATGTCTTGCATTTTCCAAACTTAATCGTTCTCCCTGCAGGTACCATTCTGCCCTTGCTTTTATTGGAATTATCTATACACTGGAGTTCCAAAAACCTACTCCCTTGGACAAAGTGGGTTATGCGACGTACTCCTCGACTCATGACTGTACTTGGTAACAAAACAAAACAAAAAAAGACAAAAGTCAAATTCCTTGTAGACACATGAAGGATAAGATGTGGGTTTCCAGTTGCTGAGTGAAAATACTTATTAGCAGCAACAATAGAATTCAAGAGTAATAAAACAGGCTTGGATTTAATTTTGATTTTAGAATGTGTAAATAAAGTATGGGGATATGCTGGTGGCAAGAATAGTCAAAGACAAGATTCAGAGGATGAATAGGGCAGGAAAAGGGCTACGCTTGTCAGATAATGAAGTGGAGTTATTAGGACACATAGAAGATAACCCTCCAAAGGATACTTTTTGGGGTAATCAAAATCAAGGAGCAGACATGATAACTGGAGATTGGCAATGGGAAAAATTAGAAGTAGAAAAAAAAAAGGAGAAGAAATATAAGCTTCAAAGGAAAAAAAAAATGGTAGAGAGGATTCTGAATAAATCCACACCAGGGAGGGAGGAAGAAAAGGCCCCTGTACCAATGGGCTTGCTCCTAGTACCAGGTACCACCAGAGGCAGAAAAAAACCTTCCAGAACTGAACTAGGACAAAGAAACTGGCAAAGAAGAGAGTTGGGAAAAGAATTATTGATTTACAAGGAAGATGATAGAGGTTGTAAACAGAACTGATGCAGGAATGATAAAAAAAAAAAAAAAAAGAGGGGCGCTTGGGTGGCTCAGTCGGTTAAGCATCCGACTTCAGCTCAGGTCACCATCTCACAGTTCGTGGGTTCGAGCCCGGTGTTGTTGGGCTCTCTGCTGTTAGCACAGAGCCTGCTTCGGATCCTCTGTCTCCTTCTTTCTCTCTGCCCCTCCCCTGCTCGCATGTGCTCTCATTCTTTCTCACACTCTCTCTCTTTCTCTCTTAAAAATAAATATCCATTGGGGCGCCTGGGTGGCGCAGTCGGTTAAGCGTCCGACCTCAGCCAGGTCACGATCTCGCGGTCCGTGGGTTCGAGCCCCGCGTCGGGCTCTGGGCTGATGGCTCAGAGCCTGGAGCCTGTTTCCGATTCTGTGTCTCCCTCCCTCTCTGCCCCTCTCCCGTTCATGCTCTGTCTCTCTCTGTCCCAAAAATAAATAAACGTTGAAAAAAAAATTAAAAAAAAATATCCATTTTAAAAAAAGGATTAAAGAAGAGACAGCAAGAAACACAAGTATCGCTATATTTCAAACTCTGGGTTTATCTCTTTGGGGTGCTATAGAAATGGCAAACATGAGGTTCTTAGACCTCTTCCTCTCCTATGGCAGACATTCCAATTCCAAGTTCGTCATGCGCTATTTTCCTCTGAGTACAGATTTGGCCTCAGAACCCTTCTTAATACAGTGCTGCAGTTAGCCACTGCTGACTGATTTGACTTGACCCTAGACCTGAAATCTGCACTCTTACTGTATTTAAAAACAAACAGGCAAACAAGAAAATCCTCTGTGAGGTTTTAGTAGTACCCACTCACTGATGGAAATGAAACTATCATACTTTTGGTTAGAAAAGCAAAGTGGTTCAGTGTGAGATGTTTATTAATATGGACATAATAATGCACATGTGTGGATAGGAGTAAATATGTATGTGAAATACGAGTATGTCAAGTAGAAAGACTGAAGTATTCCATATTTAGTTGTAATCTGAAACTCTGTTTTGAGCATTCATAAACACATGAAGATCAGCTCATCATTTACCCTGGCAGCTAAAACCTTTAAACCCAATAAAATGATATGAATTATGTTTTAAGCTACCATAGCTCATATGAAACAACAGCCTGTCGGAATAATCAGAGCTTTCTCCTTCCTCCTCTATCTTATGACACCATATTGAGCCCAACACCTAAAAAGTTGGCAGAAACACCGAATAGGTTTTTCATCCCCCACATACGACACATTTTTAAAAGCATGCATAAATAATGCAGCATAACATAGTAACATTGATAATGATCAGGCCATGGTGACAGGTGTAGGGAAAATTGGGATTTGTATCAAAGGCAGGCAGTAAAAAGGAAACTGCGTTCATCTTCAGTTGAAAACTAAGTTTAAAAAAAGGGAGGAAGGATCGTGTGTGACAAGTTGTATTGGTTTCCATTTCCTCTTGCTTACGTTCATTAATTTCGCCCAGCTTCCGAGCTTATTTATGCAAAGAAAAACTTGAAGGCATACAATGCCCTAGATTTTCTCTAGTCTGGGAAACATGCAGTGCTTTCTTTGAACTATTTTGTTTCCACATCCTGGTAAACTATTCACGTTCTGCTGAACAGTTCATAATGCTTTGCAGGAGGAGAAGCAGGGCATTGCTATCAGGGGTCATCCTTTTTATGACTTCTTTGAATTAACAACAATAACAAAACAAAGGTCATTAGTCTGGTTGGCATAATTGAGATAGAAAAGGAAGGGAAAGAGGCAGTGGGGTGGGGGGGAAATAGTAGTGACCTGTCAAGAATCTTTGAGGCCTGACAGTCTTCTGACCCAAATGAATTGATCATCATCACTCTTGTGAACGATTGCCATGGAATCCTAGCTGGTCTCCTGCATCCCTCCATTGCAGCCATCGTGATCTTTTTAAAACACATTTCTAATCACCTGTCTCCATGCTTTCCTCTCCATAGTCTAGCAAAGCCCTTCATTGTGTGGTCCCTTCTGCCTCACTGGCAGCTTATGGCATACGTATTCTCTGAACTCCATCTCCACTGGCCTTCTTTCAGTTCTGCTTTCCTACAAGGCCTTTGCTGGCCACAGGGCCTTTGCACAAGCTGACGCTGCCTGGAATGTTCTTTCCACTCCCACCTGCTTCACTCAACTTTTGTAATACTAGCCCAAATGTCTTGTAACTCCTAAAGAAGCCCAACTCTGACTCTTTCCCCACAAAGTGATTTGAGTCCTCTGCTGTCACTTGTCAAAGCACTCTTTCTTTTTCAACATTTATAACTATTTGTAATTATACATTAATGTGATTATATTTCTGATCCTCCCACTCAATGTTAAGTATAAGATCTGTAGAACTATAGCAGTGACTACCTTCCTCTCCCCTGGGCACCTCTACCTTGTACCCACAGAGTGAACATTTGGCAAATATGTACTGACTGAATGAATTAATGTATCTAATAGAATACACTGCTTTACTGAAATAGTCATAACTGTGGCACATAAAGAAACTTTTGAACAAATTGCTTATACCATTAACCAAATATTATTTAGTAAATCTAATAAAAGAAATTTTGTATGAAACTCTCCGGTACATCGTATCAAAGGATTGCAGATGTGACTGAATTCTCTAAAATTAATACATAAAGCCTCCAGAATGGAGATTATTTCTTTAAGTTTCCTCTGTTTTCAGCTCTGAAGGAAATGGAATTCTTACAGACATTTTTTTTTTAAAAGAGCAAGCAAGTGAGCGAGTGTGGGGTTCCATCCCCAAACCCTGGGATCATGACCTGAGCCAAGATCGAGAGTCGGGCGTTTAACTGACTGAGCCACCCAGGAGCCCCAGGAATTGGAATCCTTATTACGGCTGCTGAATAGGAATGTAATTGAGTCATCCTGTATGGAAAATAATCAAGGTATATGCCTTCTAGAACCTTCTGGGGAAACCAGACCTGTAACTTGGACAAAATGGTGGCAATGCGAGCAACCTTCTTCTGGAAGATGAGCTGTGGAGAAACAGAACTTACGTTGGTTTAGAAGCCTCGGCCTGGTCGGTCTGTAGTTTCTCTCCTCCTTCCACCTCCATGGTGCAATACACAATGCGATTGGGAGCCAAGGATTTGAGGCCTTGGACTTCCATGATCACCACCTGGAAGGAGAACCACACATGGCAGAGGTTATCCCAAGCTTGTACCCAAAGCCATGGGAAGCATCACCCAGAAGAAAATACACAGATGGGAAGAAGCCACCAAAATACCCGACGGGTATCTGGTAGCTTCCATCAGTTTTCTAGCAGCCAGCCTGGTACCAGTCTTGCGTGAAGATGCAAATTCTTCATAGTGTAACTTACTGCCTCCCAGATGGAAAGACAACCTTCACTACCTCAGATGCTCACAGGGGCCAGACAGGTAAGGGGAAACGGCTGCTTTTTTCCTGGGTTCAATGCATGATTATTTTTTCCTTTCCACAAAGAAACAGGGTCTCTCTTATCTTCTTTCAAAATAGTCTAGCTTTTAATTCAGCACTCAGCAGAGACAAAGGCCCAGAAATTCACTTTTCTCTTTGCAGTGAGGTAAGTGCTAACACAAGTGCTAAGAGCAAAGGCCATTCAGCATTAGAGTCCGGGACACAAGAGGGAGCAGTGGGGCCCGTGGCAAAACGGAGGGCACGTGCTCCACATACACAGAGCAGTCAGGACCCAGGCGCACCCCACTGTTGCCTTGTCAGTCCTTAGTCCACGGCTGCCAGATACGGCGATTTTTCCTCCCAGAAAATGGAAACCTGAATCAGAACCAAAGTCAGAAATCTGATTTTGAAATTTTGACAATAATCCCCAAAGGGAGGAATAAAATACACAAACTGTTCAGGTCAGCACTGTGGAATCAAAACAAAAACATGTCTGCAGCTGCGTACTCTCTGTTCTACACTGAGGAGAAAAGCTGGCATTTTGCTGGACCAAAATGTATCATTTACAATCCCTGGCACTGCCCACCACGACCCTTACACTCCATTCGATCACCTGCTATTCTCTGATTCAGTGGGGGCGCCTTGTCTTATATAAGAGGGGAGGATAGGGCAGATGCACTGATTTAGAAATCTGAAACAAATGCCCTGCATCAGGGATCTATTGTAAGCCAGGTATACAAAAATATCACCCAATCATACTCCAAAAGAGGAAATGGCATCACACAAGGAAAAGAGTATGTTTGTGCAAAACATGTACGCTTCTTTAACGGGCTTGATTACTAGAGTTGGCTTTGAACCAGGATGTACAAGTCAGTTTTGCTGATTAATAGTCCTGTGGTTCTCAAACTTAGTGTAAATCGGAAATATCTGGAAGGCTTATTAAACCCAGACACTGCCGGGCTCCACCCCCAGATTTTCTTTTCTTTTCTTTTTTTTTTTAAGTTTATTTATTTAGAGAGAGACAAAGACAGCACGAGTGGTGGCAGAGGGAGAGAGAGAGAATCCCAAGCAGGCTCCGTGCTGTTAGCATGGATCCCAACGTGGGGCTGGATCCCACAAACCCTGAGATCATGATCTGAGCCCAAATCAAGAGTCCGACACTCACCGGACTGAGCTACCCAGGCGCCCCCATCCCCACAGCTTCTAATAAGCAGGTCTGGGTGAAGCCCAAGACTTTTTATTTCTACTCATTTCCCTGGTGATGCTGATGCTGGTATTGATGATCTGGGAGCCATCCTTTGAGAACCACTGGATTACTCATGTGCTACTGGGCAAATGACTTGACCGTGAAGTCCCTCCACTTTTCTGTCAAATCTCCTGAGGCCCAGGGTCTTCATCTGTAACGTGTGGACAATAACGTATATCCTGTATCCGTCTGTGGCTGTTGTATGAGGCCCAGATAAGATGATGTAGGTCATAGAAAATTTTCACACCGGTAAGAACCATACCGGTGGAAAGAAATGGGAGGCACAGTAGAAAGAACGCAATTTTTGTGATTTAAAAGATCTCCGTTGAAATCTTGAATCTGCAACTTCACCAGCTGTGTAATCATTTGCCAGTTTCTTAACCTCTCTGAGGCTTTGTTTTCACATATGCAAATGGCTCAGGAGACTGTTAGGGGTCTTCGCTGACTTAACGATGGCGATGGCGGAGCGGGCAGAGGCACTCCCCATCTGCCCATTCTGTTTCACCAGAGTACTCCCCTGGTATAAGACCAAGCCAGACAGGCATCCTGGACCTCAGATCCTGGACCTCAGTTCTCTCGCTGCCGCTAACTGCTCTAGAGTGTCCTTTGCGGTCACGCAATTCTGTAACTGTCTAAAACATGTCTTCCACCAACCTGCAAGTTCAAACCCAGTCTACCCCGATAAGATGACAGTTCCCTATCTCCCTCTTCGTGTCCCCCTGACCGTGTCGCCCAACGCACACTCACAAAGAGACGCACCATGATTCTTACGGTCAGTTTTAGTACATGCACAATTAGCGTTCCAAGTAAAAAGTATTTGGGGACGAAATGAGGGCATTTCGTTCTGTACTTGTGCTTAGAAGTTAAAGCCTGTTTGAATCATGTACACATGGGAGTGTGGCTGGGGACTCACTCACAGCTAGATTTCAGATAATCACCTGTATAATATTGAGTACTGATGAAGAATTAGAAAATTACGGATTTAAAAGCTTCATGAAAATCAATAAACCACTTTTCCCCCACTTTCTGTAGAAAGACAAGAGGCAGTGGGGGAATAAATTGCCACCTCTAATAGGCAGTAATCAAATTCAAAGACACCTAAGAAAAAGCATTCAGTACCTCAGGTGGCAGCATTAAGAAAGAAAGAAAAAAAGGAAGTTTCTGTGAAATTACACTGATGGTTTTTTCACACACCAAGTGCCCTATATTTAACTGAATACTGCTTCTGCCAACTGCAAAATAAACGTTGATCACACTGTAATAGGACTATCTTGATCTGAACTGAGCACAGTAACACAAATTACAGGCAGTTAATTCACAGGAAGCTTTAATGATGTTCTAGAAAATTAATTTAGTCTTTACAAATTCTAATTAAATCTACAGAAATTTGATCTATTCTCTTGGTCTCCCCAAATCTAGGGCCATCATAAAATCCTTGTGGGGTTCTGAGCTTCAATAAGTTACGAACTGTTCTCAAACTTTAGAATGCATAAGAAGCACCTGGGTGGCTCATTAAAATGCTTATTTCATGGTGTATTCCACCCAGAGATTTTTTTTTTTCTGACACCATTGAGGCATATTTTACATATCATATAGTTAACTCATTTCAAGTGTACAATGCGGTGAATTTAGTAAATTTACTAAGTTGCATGACTATCATCATCAGTTAGTTTTAGAACATTTTTATCTCCCAGTAATGTCCCTCCTGTCCATTTCTACCCCCTGCTCCAAGAACCTAATCTGATTTCTGTTTCTGGAGACTTGCCTTGTTTAGACATTTTGTAGCAATGGAATCAAACAGCATGTGGCTTCTTGTGTTTGGCTTCTTTCAGGAAGCAGAATGTTTTTGACCTTCATCTAAATCAAAGCATGTATCTGTAGTTTGTTCCTTTCGATTGCTGAGTAGTAACCCGTTGTACGGATGCACCACATTTTGTCTATCCATTTTCGAGGGGATACACACTGAGGTTGTTTCCATTTTTTGGCCATTAAAAATAGTGCTGCTATAAACTTTGAACGGGAGCAAGATTTTATGGGGATGTGTGTTTTCATTTCTCTTGGGTAGATATCTAAGAATAGAGTTGCACTCTGCATGTGCTAGTTTTATGTTTAACTTTTTGCAAAACCACCAAACTCTTTTCCCAGATGACTGCACCATGTTGCATTGCCTCCACCTTGAGATTTGGTCTGGGTGGTGCCAGGAATCTGCATAGAGAACCAGTTTTCTGGGCAATTCCACCACAGCCAGATCAGATCCACTCCCTCTATTATACGTATGAAAAACAAACATGTGAGCAGAAGTTATAGAGAAATGTACTGACATGTGGAGCTTTCTGCCACAGTCCTGGTCTGAACGGGTTCTTTCTTTGGCTGATGAAATAAACTAAAAAGGTTCCCCAGCAACAAGAAGCTCTCCTATTGTGTACCCAACAGGAGAGACAACAGGAAAGAAAATCTACAACTCACCAAATGATGCTAGATGGCTTGTCTCCTAACTCCAACTCAGGATGGCAACATTATAAACTTTCTAAATTGCGTAAGGGCTTTACAAAATCCTTGAGCAGTGCTTTAAGATGGAAAATAATGCAAGATTAAATTCAGTAGATGGTTCTTAAGACTGCATTTCCTTCAGAAAAGCATGGGCTCCTGGAGATGGGGAATCACTTGCTGATTAGCTGACCTATGCTTAGCAAGCTGTTATTTTAATAACTGCTCCTGGGGTGCAGGGAAGAAAGCAAGCTGATTGTGATGCATCTAATCACCCACGTCCTGCTGGCTGTGCCAGGAAACTTTCAAGGGTTTAGGGCTTTTTACCTCCAGGGAGAAAGACAGCACGACATCTGACTTGGAGAGCTGGTTCTCACTCTCCTCACCCATGTCGATGATGGAAGCGTTGTGGCTGCGTTTGAGTTTCTGAAGTTTGAACTCTCCACCTTTGGACACCGGCATGCTCTCCAAATTGGCCATGAGCAGGTTGACAGATGACTTCAGCTCCTCAATGTACATGTTTTCCATCTCTTTGGATACAAATTTGGGAAATTTGCGCTCCTTGTAAAGGAAAAGAAAAGTATGAGCAGAGGAATAAAAAGGGACCTGATTTACATAGAAGGTTTACATCTTACAGCCCAGAGTTACAATAACATCTACCACTGGTGAAATTTTGCCCAGATATTGTGACACTGTGCTAGAAAAATGTTCAGCCTAGTTGAGTAGACAGCTGTCTGCCTTCTAGTTATTTACAATCTCTAACAGGTAAGAAATACATACGTAAACATATAGTAAGAACGAGTCAAATGTTTTATTATAGTTCAATTTTTTCCCCCAGTTTTCTCCGACAAATTTGATTTGTGGAAAGAAAAATGGGGTGATATTTTTAAAGTCTGGTTTCAGCTGAAACCGTTTTTCTTTTTAGCAAAATGCAATCCGTTGTTTTTAAGTTTGGAGACAGAAAGACACCCTATTTCTGGATACGTATAGAGATTTTCTCACATGAATAATTCAAAAGGAGCTCATTTGAGATGTTTCAAACATAGCCTGTAGCTATTTCTAAAAGAATAGTAGAAAGAATTGTTACTGTTTTCAAGAAAAATTGAAAAAATTAATGAAGTGATGAAAAACATGATTAAAATTCTTTAGAAAAGAAGATAAAGCAATTCCATATCAGAACTGACCTCTATTTTTTTTCCTTCCTTGCTTATGAATTCAGTTGTAATAGCAACATGGTTAGCCATGCTCTTTGTTTCCTCATTACCTCTAAGTTGTCCAGGTGCCTTGAATATACTTTGGATCAATCACCTTCTCGAAGAATCATTTCCTACTTGAAACAGGAATTGCCCTCCTTAGCCTTGGTCCATACTGATCAGGTGAGGGGCAAGCCAGATCGGTTTGCCCTTTTTTGCAAGAGACAGAAAAATCCAACTCGAAAATGGCTTAAACAATGGAGGGAATTGATTGGTTTGAAATGTCCTGGGGTAGACCAGCTTCCAGCAAGGCTGGAGTCAGGACTCAGATAATATCACAACAACTGGTATTTTTCCAAATCTTAATTTGGGTTCCTCGGAGGTGGCTCCATACTCAGTCTGGCTCCCCTTAATGTCACAGAAAGGTTGTTAAAACTCATAACATCATAGCATGCAATCTAAAGGAAGAGTGAATATCTCCCCCTATAATGTCTTTGATTCCAAAATTCTCAAAGTCTGACTTAGGCACATAACCTGAACAACCTTTTATGGTTGGTGATATGTTGTGTTGAGTTGCTTAGGCATGAATTATTTCCTCCATCCCTGCGGCTAAGGGGAGAATTCCACCAGGATCACATGGGATGTGAATTGGTTTGCCAATTAGGGGTGGCAAAAAAAACAAAAATAAGATGTTTCATACATGGGCACCTGACCCAAATCAACCAACTAATTCAGTTAAATGGCCAACAGTCAACCGGATTTACTCTCACAAGCAATTGAACTGAGAGATATTGAGATTGCAGTTAGCAGCGGAATTGAAATAGCAAGATCATGTCTACTCATGTAGACTGCCATATTGGAACAGCTGAAAGAATAAGACACTTGACGAAGAGAGAGAGAGAGGTAGAGGGATAGAGGTAGAGACTAACAGATGGAGGAAGGAAAGGAGGGAAGGCAGAAGGAAGGGAACAGGAGAAAAGAAGCTATTTAGAGTCATAGAAAGGAGCTCTGACTTTTATTGGTTTTCTAATTCTTACAAAGCCCAGTATCTCTCCTTTTGGTTCCTTTGAGATTCTCTTATTTTCCTTCCAATAATTCCCTCCCACCACACATGCACACATACTACTTAACTAGAAGGGTATTTCTTTCTTTCTAACATGGAAGTTTCACTAAAATTCACATAGTAAATCCTCTGTATAGAGCTTGGAGATGCCTTTGCGCTGTGTCAGTCTTCTTCCTACCTAGAGGAACTATCCCCCTTACCCCCTTGCCTCCCTAGATAATTCTCAGCCATACTGTCATCTATATTTCAGCCTCAAAATTTATTTCCCTAGGTCGAATCTCCTTGTTCTACTTTCTTATAACACCTAGCTCAACTTCTTGGTAACATTTACTATAATTATAATTAATGGAAAATGGTGAAATTTGTTTCTCTTTCCTGCTGGGCCATGACGTCTATCTTGATACCCTTGGTGAATTCTTATTTTCTAAAATAATCTTTGGCACATAGTAAGGATTCAATACTTATGAGTTGAGTGAATGAATGGATGGCTTGTCAAAATGTCCATATTAAATATCAACACAGCTAAAACTCAGTCATAAGGTGGAGGTGGAGAGATGATGAAATAGTTCTGGAAGAACATTGAGATTCTGCTTTTCCAGGTAAATGAGCATGGGGGTCTGAAATCCACTCAGCAACCTTTGAGTACTGGTTCCTTCCAGAGCCTCTTACTATAATCACTTCCTGCTTTACCGTTGGGCTCAGCCCACCATGTGGTGCTTTCTAAACACACTGAGGAGCAGCAGGATGGACGCCTCTGAAACGTGATGATAGGCTGATGAGCTCAACAACAGCTAGTAATGATTCAAGGCAAGAATCCTACCTTAGTAGGTAAGTGTTAGGGAGGGACCATGATGAAAGGCTGTGGACTGTTCCCATGAAGCTTATCAACCAATGGGGAGAAAGATCTATTGAAGAAATATCAAGGTAGATACTGTAACAGCAGTGTATGAGACATGAACTCTTGCTGAGAGAGTCAGGAGAGGCTTTCCAGAGGAGGTAACCTGTGAGCTGAGAGTCTGATGAAGAACACTTTACCACCAGGTTGAGTTGGCTGAGACAGGATCATTGTTCTTTCCTCCCTTCCATGGAAAATATACTAGCAACCATGAATCTAAGAAGGTCTGTATAACTGTACATGGCCACATGCATTTCCTCATCTTTTGAACATGGCCCTTATGGAGAGCAAAGATGGAAAGTCAATTCATGATCCAAGAGTGGTCCCCAAGGCCATGTTAGAAGATACCAAGCAGCAAAGGTTACGTATCATTAGCCTAAAGTCTGTTCCACTGATCTCTTTCTTTCTCATATTGGGGCCCAAATCTTATAACTACGTGGGATTCTTGGGAAGCTGGGTAAATGGTATCTCTGAGTTTTTACTGGAAGCTGCTGGCCTTGTGGTTGCCATGGAGATGAAGAGAAAAACGGTCTTGTCTGTGAAGTGGGTTCTTTCTGGCCATCAGCCTTGAGACACCTTATCATCGAGTGCAGTCCCTTTTATCACACCCACCTTTGGGACTCACTCAAGGCCTCACAACTCCACAGCCTTGACATTGTGCAAGAAGATCCAGGGGTTACAGACAATCCCGCTTTGGCCCAGAGTTAGAGTACAACAAACTTTATGCAGCGGAGTATTGGAAAAATCCAAAGAATGATCACTCCTCTCAGAACTTGGACAGTTTCTAATGACATCATAAAAAGAGGCTCATAAAACTGAAGTCCGCAAGGGAAAACAAGGCCATTTTTCTGCCCTGTGTACTAAAGCCTTGAGAAGAAATAGCATTCTGTCAATCTAGGCTGAGGTTCTTGAGGGGAGTTTTCAGCAGCAGACCCATTACAAACACATTTCAAAGCTGAGGTTGTGCCAAGAACAAGGAAAATGTAGTCGTCCATTTCGATTGCTACTTTCCCAAGCATTAAAGTAAATTAGCCTTGACAAAAGCATTGTTTATTCATATCGCTTTATGAAAGACATAGCATATGGATGGACAAAGTCTTCCAAAGAAAATTTCTGCTGTCCGTTAATTTTGTTTTGGGCTGATAACACTCCTCAATGGGGATGGCCTCCCAAGGACAATTCCTAACAGGGTTATTTGTGCTTGGCCACACCGAGTGATTTTTGAAACATCTTGAAAAATGGCATTTGAAAGTGCTAACAGCTTTGTCAGCCATTTACTTTTCTTTTCTGTCTTTTCATTTTTATCCATAGAGGATGAAGAGTCACATGTAAAAGCTGACAAGGGTACCCCCACTCAGATAGCGGATCCTTAGACTCCAGAGGCTCAAATGGCAAACTGATAGGTGACCAGAAGGAAGGATGTGGCAGAAGGACACCTCCTAGACACAGAGCTCACTGACAATGTTGTACTTACTCAATACAATCCCTCAAATAAGTCCTGGGCTCCTATGATGTGTCAGGTGTATGGATGTCATTGGGATGAAAGAGTCAGCCAAGAGGTGATGGTATGGGGTGAAGGGGAATGCCAGAAAAAAAAAAAACCGAGTAGATGTCCTGTGACACATGAAGTAACAGAGGCATGTGTAGAGTACAAAGTTCACCAAGGAATCTTATCAGTTCACATGAGTGAAATCTACTTGACTTTGAATCCTGGGTCTACTGCTTACTAGTTGGGTGACTTTCTACTGCTTACTAGTTGGGTGACTTTAGACAGGTTTCTTCCCTGTGAATTTTAGTTTCCATATTTGAAGTAGGGATAAGAAGCCTCATACAGTTATTGTGAAGAGTAAAAGGTAAAAACAAACACCAATACTTTTTGACTATATATAATCAGCATATATATACCACATGTATGTATATACACATATATGTATACATATATACATACACATATACATACATGCACACACACATATACATATCCATATCCATCAGGTACCATGCTACCACCACCGCTGCTGACAATAACATTACCAATCATAATGACGGTGACTATCATAGAGATCATGATGCTAGTTGGCTCTCACAATTGTTGTTTGTGTCCCGGACACTAAGTAAACACTTTGCATGCTTTACCTCACTTAATCCTTCCAACAACTGAGGCTAGTGCTATCATTTAGTCCCAAATTCTGGAGGAAAATGATGCATAGAAGTATATTCAGTAATCAGTAGCATGGAGTGTGAAACCTCCATTGGGTTTTTTTTATTTTTTATTTTTAGCTATATTTGTAGCTACCATACCATAGAGAAGAACTATCTGGCTCCAAATGGCAAAGAGCCAAGGTAAACCCTAGGGGGCTTCTCAGCATTGCGTACCCTCTCTGCGTTGCTTTATCTCAGTGTTCAGCAC